AGAAGACAAGCAAATAAGCATGAGTCAGGATAAGTATAAAATATCAATTTTATTCAGAAAATTACATTTTTGTCAATTTAAATGCATGTAAGACGTGGGTAATAAATAAAATACCACACTCGGTCTCATTACATACGAATTATACGAAACTCGTGACCTCGAGGACACTCGTTTCGTATAATTCGTATGTAATGAGACCTCGTGTAGTATTCTCTATATATGTCCCTGTGGCACCGGGTGGAGGTTAATTAATCCGTTCACGAAAATGTTTCTCTTTTCTCCGACGTCGAAGTTGATGGTACATTATGTCGTCTGCCATGTTGATACAGCTAATGATGAGTTAATGATACCCCCAAACCTTCATTAGCTTAATGATGGATTAATGACGGGATTCCTTTATTAAGGATTTCATGCAACTGAAGATAATCAGTGATTAACTAATCATAGTTTAATTAACGATTAAAGCTTTATTAAAGTTTGATACAACCAGGTCCTGCTAACAAAGGAAATGACTTGGTCTTTCTATAGTGACGACATAACCATACCATTGACATACACAGTATATATTAGCCATGGTAATGAGGTGTAGCAGTTTGGCGTCTTTAGATAATGAAATCCCATATAACTGAGGATGGAATTGGGCCGTAGGGTAAATATTACTGTGCATGGCTGTTGAACATCTGATTTAACAGATTTCCTCTAAAGACAATATTGACTTGAATAGAAATCCATCTGTCCATGACACAGATAATTGTATATCCCTGACCGACAATTCGAAACATTCTTGATCTCTGTACTTTCAATTTGATTACATCGTGAAAACGAAGTTGCGCAGCTACTAGCAACTATTTGAGACCTCGATTAGTTTTATAATACTAGATTAGTAGGATATTCTACAATAACAGTCGATTAGATCCAATGGAACACATTTCGTTTCACCTACATTTTTGCCCGCATGTGCAGAACTAATGGACTCTGTCAGATCTGGAGGAAAAGCATGTGCTTCGCAGCACAGGGGTCGTATTGATATACAAATTAAATTAAATAAAACAACAAACAAAACTAACATCTGGCAGTTTGATGTGTTCACTTTTATTTGCGAGTCGCTTGTTCACTCGAGCTCACAAGTTCACAGACAGGTAGGTGCCGTCTTGCAGGACCATGGATTTATCCACGTGTACTTTCCTTGAGGTCTTCGGACGGTGTAGTCACGGTAACAGTTCCTGTAGCCGGTGGCGTACTGGTCGTATCTGTGTGAGACGTCACCTTCCTCGACTTCCTTTGTACGACACTGTCCACTTTGGCCGTCAGTTGTTCAGAGGTTCTCTAAACATAATTCAAAACATTTTTGTGTAACTTTCAACTTTGATAAATACAGTATGCCCTACTCCTTTAGTGAGCGAGTGAGTTTAGTTTACGCCGCACTCAGCAATATTCCAGCTATATGGCGGCAGTCTGTAAATAATCGAGTCTGAACCAGACAATCCAGTGATCAACAGCATGAGCATCGACCGGCGCAATTGGGAACCGATGACATGTGTCAACCAAGCCAGCGAGTCTGACCACCCGATCCCGCTAGTCCTATAGAGCATAATAAAAAAGATTCATATAATATTAAGGTTAACAAACCATCTATAAAGTTAATTAATCGTGATACAAGTTTGACTCCTTGCTACGAATCAACTGTGCAGTCTACGTACGCACGTGATAATTTGAACTCCGTCGTGACGTCATCAGTAGAGGCGTAGTTAGTATTTTTAAAGGTGTCAAACACGTACCTTATAACAACGGATAGCTGATGACTTGTGTCCAGTTCGCTCGCAGATCAACTGTTCGTCAAGTCCGGCATCGTAAAGTCGAGTTGCTGTGGTCGCTCTAAGCGAATGGTTGGTATAGAAACCACTGAAGCCTGCAGCCTTGCAAAGACGGCTGATGGTTTGGGTGAGAGTGTGCACGCCAATTGGGACGTCAGCAAACCAGACATCTGTCTTAGCGTACCGAAGTGGTCGTAGATAAAACGCCCGGCAAAGTACCATTACGTGGCCTGAAAGTGCAGACAAATTGTTTGCTAATGGGTATACAATATTTGTTTAAAAATAAGATCAAGGTCGCGACTGATTCCGCTGCACATAAGGGCAGTGCAAATATCAAAGCTGCATGCATGTATTTACCAAGCAATCATGTCTTAATATTTATTTTATATTATATTTATGTAAACGTTCAATATCAGTTATCCATATATATTGCAAATGAATAGATCGCTAAAATTAACTGTAAGTGACATATTCATGATATCTTACCTTAGATTCAAGTACATTTCGTATAGACGAGACCAAACATCTCTCTGGCCGCTCGTTGTTCTGAGACACCTTCACTACTTTACGTTCGCACTTCCGGTGTTTAAGGCCGCCCTGTTGGTCCTGGACATGTCCTCGGTGTAAACTAGGAACTTGGACCCTTCATTCACGTTTTGCATTACCTTAAGTTGGGATGTTTCGCCTACCTGCAAAAACCGATGCTCGTCTCCTGCTCTGAGGGCAAAATTAAGGCCAATCAAATAGATTAGGGTGTCACTGAGCTGTTGCGGAGAATCGCTTCCTAAAGAGATCTCGCCCACAAAATATCCTCTTCTTCCTCTGTTATGACTTTCGCCTGTCGCTTTGTGATTCCTATCCCCTGTCTAACCAATGCTTTCATTTTGGCATCTAGTATGTTTCTCAGGCCTTCGTAACGGTGCTCAGTAAAGAAGTTTAACGGGATACCATTTCTCCGGATATAGTACTGTAAAGAAGTGAGAATCTCGTACAGAGAGTTCCCGCGGTATTCTGTCCCAGTCTGCTTTCGAACCTCGGTAATAAATATCATTAAAGTTCGATTCAGATCGGATTCATTTTCGCCAAAGTCAAAAGGTCATGTTTTTTGAGTTGGGGAATCGTTTTGTCTTTCTTCACACCAAGAATTGAACAGACGCACTGCCCACAAACTCTTGTTTTCAGTTTTGTCGAAAATGCAGACTTGCTTAGTGTCTGTAACTGACTACCCGACAATGGAGTTCGAAACAGAAACGTTTCAAGAGCATTGCTTCCTTTATCAGGTTCTTGTGCACGGGGGATTGAATTAATGGGGTCAGACTGCAACTTGTTTTCAATTTCTTGACTGGCTAGGAAAAGTTCAGTGTCAGATGAATTTTGACCCTCTCCTAAAACAGAATTTTCGTTTTCAAATTCCTTCAAAGTAATCTCATCGATGTTTGATTTATCCAAATTGATTAAAGTCTCAAATTCATCATTTATTGCAAAATCACCAAGGGTAATGTTATACCGGTCTTGGGTCAAAAACAGATCATCATCAGAATCCATTGTTTACGCTGACAGTGGTGACGAGAAGGTAGTTTCCGTTGTGATTTTCCTTTTTATACGTCACAAGCTGTAGATTAGTGCAGCACGAGTATTTATAACGGGTGCGTTTTTCAGAATGTTTTAAAACGTTTGAGATCAGTACGTGTTTTGGTGTCCAGTGTCACTGTACATTAGTTCCACACGTGAATGCAATGGTGACTTCGTTTTAAGTTGGAGAAAGTCCTCAATCCATCGATTAGTTTCGCTCGTGAAGCCCGTCCTCGGCCTAACGGCCTCGAACGAGCCTCACGAGCGAAACTAACCGACGGATTTCGACTTTCTCCTACACATGTACATGCTTTTCATTCATGTACAATATGTTGGTATCGATTGTCCCAAGTAGCAATCTTCGTGAACGTGAGTGAGTGAGTATGGTTTTACGCCACTTGTAGCAATATTCCAGCAATATCATGGCGGGGACACCCAAAATAGGCATCACACATTGTACCCATGTGGGGAATCGACTTCGGCGTGAACAGTTTAACCTCAAAGCTACCCCACCGACCGCTACCCCTATCTCTCTCCAGCCCCTCTTTTGTGAATAGAAGGAATTAGTGTAATGGTCTGTTTGTTGATTTGCATGTTCAACACCGCACATTTTTCACTTTTCTGACAGCGGTCGGTAAATAATCGAGTCTGGACAAGACAATAAGTGCTCATGAGCGTCGATCTGCCCTAATTGCATACGATGCCAAACATGAGTTGCTGAGGACCAATTATCAGCCGGATCATCATTAGCTCCAGTCTATTGGACAAAACTATTTAAAACGCAACCTCAAGGGAGTGAGTATGGTTTTACGCTACATTTAGCAAAATTCCAGCAATATAACGACAGGGGACACCAGAAACGGGCTTCACACATTGTGCACATGTGGGGAATCGAACCCGGGTCTTCGGCGTGACGAGCCACGCTTTATATGTTTTTATTACAAGTCAGTGGGTTATAGTCGCGTAACTACGATTAAAAAACTAGCTCGAGAAAAAACTTTCCTTCTAATTGTAATTATATACCATGAAAAATTACGCGAGCATTGAAAACAGAAATCCAATTTAATAGAACCATAATAAGAGAGTAGAATGATCCACCGTCATTAGGAGCAATAATGTGTCACCGTGGCCATAACCATCAGGTATGTTCACAGTTAGCGATCAAGCCTCATCATCCTGATGTAACATCATCCCGCCAAATCCAGGAAATCCCTCTTTGAACGGCACTTTGATGCCATAGCTATTAACAGGTAAATCCGATACCGCACTCTGCGGGTTTTCGGCTTGACAATACAGACACAATATAAACACTCCGATCGTAAGTGGCTGTTCAGGACTGTACATCATTTTCATGTCACATCGTCGATAGTTCCTACCGAGGGTTAATCTCACCATTATGGGTCTAGTTACCGTTACTTGTTTTTGGGAGCGGGCTGGCGATAGGTTCATGTTGCAGCAGGACCAGCCCCTCCCCGAAGAATTATTGTTTATTTACTTAAACGAACATCAAGTGACAAAAAGCCTACATACATCATGTGGACGAAGTTGGTGATTCATAAACACAGTTTGTATCATCCTCGATGTTCCGGGGAATATTTCCTTGCTTAGCGTGAGTGAGTGAGTTTAGTTTTACGCCGCTTTTAGCAATATTCCAGCAACATCAAGGCGCGGGACACCAGAAATGGGCTTCACACATTATACTCATCTGGGGAATCGAACCCGGGTCTTCGGTGTGACGAGCAAACGCCTTAATCACGAGGCTACCTCACCGCCCTCGTTGATTAGATATCACTGTTCTTAAAACATAAACACATATTGTTCTCAAGGGTTTTCAAATATGAAAAAATAACACTCTTTATAGTACTTATAATTACGGTGGTGTCAAGGAATCGGGTTCGAATCCCAGTGTTGCACCAACAACACCGCAATTTGATAGGGGTAAAACATTAATGTTAGATCACTGCGAGGGATTTGTGGCCCACGTTTATTACCAACACAAATGGGGACTTAAAATAAAAATGCACATGCAGTACTTGAAGGCATAATACCTTGGTCCAGATGAAATGATTTCTACATAGTCACATGACTCCGGCCCGGATTGACCAAAGTTCAATGATGATGTTTATCACAAGCACAAATGCTGCTTCTTAAGAGCGGACTTCGCAATATATTTCATTACTGTAAGCAATATTTCTCATCGCCGGAATGGTCTGTATTAAGGTACTTAATGTTTCGTGATCCTGTTTCAAGTGAGAAGGATTATAGACATCTTTCATTATCTTAGAAGATGAGCTTCTGTCATTTTGTGCCCAAAGGAGTTCACCTACAGGGCAGATCATCAGGAACCTGTAAACATGGCATGGTCGACTTGGAGGATCAGGTTGTGATAGTTATGTGTAACTTTGCCATCACAATAAAATACACAGTTCATTCCCATATATGCTCTTGAGGTAACACCTGATGAATTATCACATTGTGACGTAATAATTATGTCTCATAGAAAGGGGATAGTCATGCGTGTTAACTACACTTAGTACTCGAGTGTGTGAGTGAGTTTAATTTCACTCCACACTCAGCAATATTCCAGCTATATGGCGGCGGTATGTAAATAATCCAGTCTGGACCAGACAATGTGTAACAGCATGAGTATCTATCTACGCAATTGAGATACGATGACACGTTTCAACCAACTGAGCAAGCCTGACCACCCGTTCCTGTTAGTCGCCACTTACGACAAGGATGAGTTGCTGAAGATCAATTCTAACCCGGATCTTCATAGGTTCGAGTCAAAGAACACACAGCACAAAAAGAAAGAAATAATTTTATATTGTTATAAAAACCTTGGTCAAAGGTTGCACGTCCAGACAGTCCACTCCAGAAGACAACTAAAAGACAATCCACAGATTGAACGGGCATGTTGTGAGGCAGAAAGAGGCAGCTGAAAGTTTTGGGGGTCTCACAGGGGCCGCTTGCCCTTGTCACATAGCCCACAGGCTACTGGTTGAACGCCGTTGCGATGAAGCCCATGACAGCAGCGCAATGAGCCAGGAATCCCTTCTCTATGAGTAAAGTGAGGGGGAAGAGCAAGAGGAATGATGGGATGATGGGATGATTTGAAACATTTGCATAAAACCGACACTCGTACCGTAGATGATTTTGTATTTAATCCAAATGGATTTACACACAACTCATCTTCTCAGCATTGGTGTCCAATTATTCTAATATTAACAGTGGATAAAGCGTCTCTCCGGAGAGCGGGAAGTCGGTGGTTTGTTCCCGTCATAAAGATGGTATTTGTTATTATCCTGCCTTCAGCTCGGCATAAGAGGGTTAATGGACTGACACGTTGCGGACGGGGACACCTATCAGGAATAGCGACTTTACACTCGGCTTTCAGCACTAGTTCCTTGATTCAGGAACGTGACTCATTTCTTTGAAAAATACTGGATATTCGTAAGTGTATGACGTTTGCATGATGGTCCGTTGCTCTAGACAAACACAGTTGTATCGAAGAGTAGTATATAGAATGGGGATTCTGTGACAGGCCAACTAAGAGCGTCTTTATATACCAATTCCGCTTCCAGCCCTAAGTATAAATTAATGATTTCAAGCAGAGACACCATTCGATGCACATACCAGACCCCTATAGGAGCCGTAAAACCTGTAGGGTACCATGAGTTTCGGCAACCCCGGGCGGGAACGAGGATGAATCAACTAACATTGATGACTCAGACAGCCTGCAATAAGTCCCCACAGACTACAAGCTGCAGATGCTAAGCAGTCACCAGTTTCCCCGGTCATAGAATGGGGATTCTGTGACAGGCCGATTAAGAGCGTCATTATATATCAATTCCGCTTCCAGCCCCAAGTATAAATTAACGATTTCGAACAGAGACACCATTCGATGCACAGCCCAGACCAACCAAATCCACCACTCAGTGGTTTATGAGCGTGTGCCCGTACGCGTAAGTCGTGACGCCGTCGGCGGCGATCCACCGTTTGGTGTCCATGGGCGACAGCGACGTCTTGTTGAGGGTGATGCCGTAGATGTTGTGTTTGTCGCTTCTGAACGCATTCATCCGGTGTTTGAACGTCTTATTCTTGAACAGAGCTTGAGTGAAGAGGACGTGCTTGATGTGTTGTTTCACCACGTATTTCTTGACCCCTTTTGCCTTTCGGATCTCACCCTTGTCAGCTTTCAAGATGGAGTACATCTTAGGCCTCAAGCCGACGTATTCGGCGATGGGTGTGCCCGCACATTCGTCCTTCATCTTACCGAGGACCTTTTTGTTGATCGTGTTGTGTAGGGCATGGTTCTTGGGGTAATCACTGGTGTCGTACAGGTGTATGTGTTTTGCCATTTCCTCGTACACGTCCTCGGTGTGTATATCTAGCAACAAGGAATCCGTGTCCGTGTACAGCAGCTCACATCGATCACCGTATTGCTTCTTGAGCTGGTTGTAGTAGAAATCATACATGAGATGTTTGGACAGGTCGAGAATGCTCATCCCCACGTAGACGGGTCGGTTGAGCTTGATGTGACTTTTGTTCATGTGCAGCGCCGCCAAGTCGTTATGGAATAGCTTGCTTCTGTTGAAGGCCGGGCTAGCGATCAGTTTCCTGAGTTTTTCCTCCTGGTGTGATCGCACGAGTTTGACCGTCACCCGTTTTCTTAGGTTCTCCATCGTCTTACCAAACACCGAGTTGTTCATGAGCTTATACAAGTTCTTCTCGAAGTCACTGGTGGCTACCTTTCGCAGGTCCGTGTTCATTCTGATGTAGGGCTCCATCCAAGGACTTTGGTCAAACTTCAGCACCCTATGAATTTTGGTCAGTTTCATACCCAACGATAGGTACAGCTGCAGGTTGCGATAGTGCACGACGTACTTGGTCTTGTTCATCAAGTTCGGGACGAGTTTTTCCACCCGAGCCAGGATGTTCTCACCCAACAAGTCCCGCTGATAGTCGGACATCCAGTCTCGGCAGACCATCAATCGTTCAGGGGCCAGCGGGTAGCTGTTGTGAGCAGCGTGCAATGCCTCGGGATACTCCAGATCCACTTCGAGGATGTAACCCTTCCCAGAATCCGGCGCGATGTTCGTGATATCGATCTCATCGTCCAACCACTCAAACCCACCCGTAGGCAGAGACAGGTTGTTGGCGTCGAGGTAGAGGAGATGATTGCTGGGCTTGCTAGAGTCGTAGCCTTCCACGTACTTATTGTTGGCTCTTGCGTACCGTTTGGCGGCCATGGAGATCCCACCTCGCAATCCTTTCTCGATGAACAGGTGCATGTCGTAATCCGTGAGCAATTCCAGCTTAACTCCGGTTTTCTTCAGCAGCGCATCCCACGACAGACCGGGGCTGGTGTAGTACCATGCAGGGGTCGAGTTGATACTGTTTCAAACACGTCCTCCTAAACGTCTCAAACACATCGGCTAGCAGGAGCACGTCCGTTCTCAAGTACAGATCGTGGTAGTCGACCAGATTCTTACATCCCAGTTTCTCCCAGACATTCTGCGCATGGTCGTAATCGTCCTGGGAGATATGGGATTCGGTCAGGTTGCTGTAAAATTGGCTGATAGGAGGTAATCGGGTCTCGTCGAACTTAGACCAATCATCCATGTACTCGTACGGGTACACACCCTTCCTCATCAGCAGGGGCCGAGTCTCAGCATTGGTGTATCGATCGGTGATGGGGAAGGTGTCATTGGCTTTGACCAAACTATCGAGCGATGACAGGAGGAACTGAGCGCTGTCAATGAATCATAGACCGTTGAGCGAGAACGAGATGTATTTTTCCATGTTGTTGTGGATGCACTTGATATCACCGTCGACCTTCGAGATGGCCTACATGATCAGGTGGGCATCTTACCCTCTCAGATTGTGGAAGACCACGGGGATGTTGATTGTTTTAGGGTTGATTCTAAGCTGGAGGTTGCACGCGTTATGGGCGGCACCTCGGTACCGGCCGGTGATGTGGCAGTGATCTCTTACGACATCCCCATTCAGCGACCCCTGGCATATGTGGCAATTCTCAGCACACTTGTGGGCGACTTGGTCCTTCGGCGTCATGCGCATGGGGGCAGCGGCGTACTGCCTTTTCCTGATGATTTTCTCTTCCTGTTGCAAACACATCAGGAATCGTTCAGCTGCGCTAGGACCTCGGTAGATGACTGGGGGGTTCGTCTGTCCATCGCATCGGACGACCACGTACCCGAACCCGCAGGCTTGGTGTTCTTGGGTCTTGCACGTAAAACTTTGCTCAGTGTTGGGCACGTCGTGGTCGACCCGTTTGATGAGGGCTTCGAAGTCTGCGTAGATCATGTAAGGCACAGGCATCTGATGTTTGTGGTTGGTGAATTTCAAGATGTTGTCGCCCTCCTTAGGCATGTCGATTCGGATGGCCGTCTCTCCTACACCTAGGCAATCCCCCTGGTGCGCTTGCAGCAGGTCGGCTCGCGTAAAACCGTACAGACATCGTTCGCAGAAGTGTTTCTTTTCTCTGTGCATTGATTGATCGTGCAACAGCCGGCTCATATTTTTTATTGCCGTGTAGTGATACTGGCCGTCTTTTTCGATGAGGAATATATTGGTTCTACGCACGGTTTTATCACCCACAGGGCTTATCCTATACACGATGGTTTTGTCGCCTTCGTGGCC